AGCTGTGGGACACGACAGGAGCAGCTGCTACAGCCTCACGAGACCTTCCTGGTGCTTTCCAACCAAAACTTCTCACCCTCAGCCCTCGTCTGCCCCCTCACCTGACCCAGATGATGGATTCTTCTTGTCCTCCCCTTCCTCCTCCTCGGATCCTGAGGAAATGGTCTGGATGTCGTCGCTGTCGTTGGCTGTGCCCGGGGCCTGCCCTGCCCTGTGCTCCTCGTCGCTGTCGGTGCTGCTCGACACCATCAGCACATTCTGGGGACAGGAACAGCTCCTGGAGTGCATCCCAGCCTCCCTTTTCCCCGGGAATATGGTGCTCTCCTCCAGCTCACCCCCTCTGTTCCTACCCTTTGGAACCCCTGTGGGATTTTGTGGGGCTGCTGAGTTCTGCTTGAGATCCTGGAGCACTGGGTGCTCAAAAGGAAGGGAGAAGTCCAAAAAACAAGGATAGTTCGCCAGGATGGCTTCCTGCAGATGGCTCTGCCAAACAATGGGTCCCAGGTGTGCAAACCAAGGTGCCAAATCCAACCCAAATCCCACACTCTCCTTTGATTGTTCAGATCCACAAAAGACCCCCAAAATCCAAAGGAAATCGACTGCCCTCCAAAAAAAATCACAGCTACAACCACAAACCCCAGTGTTCAGCTGGGAACCAAAGGCAGAAAACAACCCAAAAGAAGGTTCAAGGTTGCTGTGGGAGGGGTCTGGGGGAGGCTCCTCCAGCCCGGGGGTCCCGCTCACCTCCGAGGAGGGCGGCAGGGCCAGGGACCGCCGGCAGCTCTGCAGCAGCACCGTCCCACTCACCGGCCTGCGGATGCCCTCCAGCCTGGGCGGGCAGGGGTTGTAGCCATACCTCCTTCCCAAGCTGCTCAGCCTGCAGGGTTGGCACAACAAGAGCGGGTCACACCTGGATCTCCAGGGAAACTGCCCACAGGCCAGGTGGAAATTGTGCCACGGGACAGGAAGAAACGATTTAAGGAATCTTACCCAGGAGTTTTGGTTGGTTCTTCAGGTTCCTGCAGAGGGGAGAAGCACAGATGATTGGAATCTCTCCCTTCTCCAGCACTGTGCAGCCTTTCTATGGAATTGTTCCCCAAAATGCCAGCTCAGGAGTAGAGATGCTGCCTGTCCCCACACTCAGTGTGACATCCAGTGACACCCAGCATGGAGATGCCCCTCCCTGGGGGACTCCAAGTGCTCTCCCTGGAGCAGGAGGTGGACAGGGACCACCTCCACGTCCCTGTTCTCCCCAGCCATGTCCCTCAGGTCCCCAGGCAGGAGGATGTTCAGCTCTGCTTGCATCAAGTGACTTCTGCAGCCTCTTGTGCCACAAATTCCCTCCCTGGGAGGGGAAAAGCACCTCCCTGAACAACAACAGAAGCCAGGGGAGCTGAGCACAGGGACATCCAACAGCTGTGGATGTGCTGTATGGGGAGAAAAGCCACTGGCACAGGAGCACCTCCCTGCCTTTAACTCTCCGGTTCCCTCATCTCTCCCTCACCTCCTTCTTGGCTGCCTTTGTCTCTCCGTTCAGATCTCCCGACGTGGAAGCACAGCCCTTCTCCCTCTCTGCAGGGATCTCCATCTTCAGAGCCTTGGCTTCTCCTCCTTCGCCCATCCTGAAGGAGGAGGATTCGCTGTCCTGGAAGCCCTCGGCCACGCTGTTGGAGCTCAGCCACGAGGCCACTTTGTTCTTGGCGATCTCCTCGGACACGGGCAGCTTGCAGGGCGGGGCCGTGGCGGGCTCGTCGTGGCCGAGGGGCCGCGCTGGCCCCGAGTCCTTGGAGGCCGTCTCGGACGGGCCGTGGTCGCGCTGGCCGCGCGTCTGCCGGCGCGTGGCGTAGCTGCGCAGCACCGAGCTCGTGCTGAAGTTCTCGTCCTTGCAGAAGTTGTCGTCGGAGCTGTCCTCGTTGGATTCCTCCAGCTCCTCCGTGCCCGTGTTCTCGTCGTCGTCGTCGTCGTCCTTGAGGTCCACGCCGCTGTTGTCCGAGGAGCACTTGGCGTCGCTCTCGTAGCCCTCCTTGAAGTTCTCCACGCTCTCGATGTGGTCCAGGTTGGCAAAGTACTCGTCACCCATCTCCAGCCCCTCTTTGTCAGCAAAGTCGTCCGTGAGGATTTTCCCTGGGGGAAGGGCAGGAAATGAAGGGTGAGTTTTCTCTTTTATCCTCCCCAAAGCTCACTTTGGAGGAGAAAACAGGGATGACACCACTTTATTCCAAAGCTGGGCTGGGAAAAGACAACCCCATTTCTTGATGTAGCAAAATGAAGCTTATGGTTGAGCTAAAATCAAGATTTTCAGCCCAGAAATCTCTACAGAGCAGCTCAAGCAGAGCCTTGCAAGGGCTGGAAGAGCACAGAGGCTCTGGCTGTGCCCGTGGGTGGCTCTGCTCCAGAGCCAACACAACCCCAGCACAACTTCTGCATCTCGTGGGCTGTGCCGGGCCTGGCCGGTTTGCTGAGCACAGGAAGCAGGGCTGGGGTTGGGTCACCTCAAGGACAGCCCGGGGACGTCTCATGACACTGGCACTGCCACCACAAGGGTTCTTGTGGCGTTGGGCAAGTTCATCAGCTCAGCTTTCACCCTCCAGTGCCCAAAACGGGCATGGCAGGAGCTTTACACCCCTTCTGCTGCAATTTGGAATCGTGGAGGTTGGAAGAGCTTCTGAGTCCCACTGCTCCCTCCAGCACTGCCAAGGCTACCACTGAGCCATGTCCCCAAGTGCCACATGCTTTTGAGCAGTTTCAGGGACAGTGACTCTACCACCTCATTGGACAGCCCTACCAGTGCCTGACCACCCTTCCCAGGAAGAAATTTTCCTGAATGTCCAACTTAAACCTTCCCAGGGCTTTGGAGAGGGCCAAAAGGTCCCGTCTGAGCCTTCTTTTCTCCAGGATGAGTCCCCCCAGCTTCCTCAGGAGTTCTCCAGACCCCTCTCCCTGTGCTCCAGCCCCTTCCACAGCTCCATTCCCATCTCTGGCTACCCCTCTTTCCACAGGAGAGTTTCCCACATGCCAGGTGAGCTCCCACCTGCGTAGATGCAGACAAAGGAGCCCTTGGCGATGTCGTCGAGGCAGCGAATGCCCCAACCTTTGTTCTGGGTCTTGAAGAGCTGCAGCCGCACCTGGAGGCCGTGCTGGACCAGGCGGTTGGTGCACATGTTCACGTTGCACTTGCACCTCTTGTTGCACTCGTAGACACTGCAAGAAAGGAGAAGGGTGACAACTTCCAGGACAAAGAAACATCCCAAAGTCTGTGGCTGTTGGCAGTGCTGGGGTTATGCACAGAGATCACAGAGGAGCAGGCACCAAGACCAGAGGCAGGTGGTCACACCTGCACTGGGATATCCAGGATCAATTCCCTCTCAGTGGATCTGGGGCTGGTGCTTGTGAGGGCTCTGCTCACCCTGTTGGGAGACATTCCTCCAGCCGCTTGTGCTGGTAGCCTGAGTTGGGGTTGATTTGCCCTCCAGGGGTGCAGCCGCTGGCCTGGATGGTCAGCTGGTGACAGGCACACCTGGATCTGCAGAGAGACACAGGAAAACACAAGAGATCAGCCCAGAGACAGGAAAATAAATCACATCTTTAGGCAAGACGGGCACAAAGGGTTTGACTCGGAATCAAACCAAGAGAAGAGGTTTGATTTCTCTCCATTCCAAGAGAAGCTGTGGATTTCTCATCCCTGGAAGTATCCAAGGCCAGGTTGGAGCAACCTGGGATAGCAGAAGGTGTCCCTGTCCATCTCAGGAGTTGGAACTGGGCGATTTTTAATGTCCCTTCCAATCCAAACCACGAAACCCACAACGGACTGACCTGCATGGGTTTAATCCCAGAGCAGATCCACCTTGGGGTGCTCCCTGGGAACCTCACACAGCCCCAGAGCTGTCCCCTCACCCAGGAGCAGTCACCTACTTGTCCCTGCAGCCGTCCTTGCAGTCACAGCCCACGAGGAACTCCCAGCTGGTGTTGATGTACACCCCTTTCCCGGGGATCCGCTCCTTGCTGTAGGCCACCTGCGGGGGCGGCGTGTTGTCGATCTCGTTGACGCACGACAGGGGCACGTCCTCCTTGCCCTTGGTGATGTCGGCGATGTAGTAGTAGGGCTTGTAGGGCTGGAACTTGCGGTCCACCAGCACGTAGGGATCCAGGCAGAACATCTCCAGGAAGAGGAAGTCGCAGTCCGTCTCGAAGAGGTAGCGCTCGATCTCGTGCATGGAGCGCAGGCAGAGCCCGCAGGGCGTTTTGTAGAGCACGTGGAAGCCCATCTTGCGGTTGACGCGGCGCCGCGCCGTCATGCGGCGGAAGTCGTAGAGCAGCGGGATGAGCAGCGGGTTCCGGCTGCGGTACTGGTCGCTGCGCATGGGCCGCACCCGCGACAGGCAGGCGTAGCTGCACACGTGCGGCAGGTAGAACAGCTTCTCCAGCGGGGCGCGGTACGACGGCTCGTTGGGAACGCGGTCCATCATCCCGTGGAAGGGCTGAGAGGGGCCGCTGCTGGGGACGCTGCGGGGAGAGGAGGGATGGGGTTAAGGAAGGGCTGTGCAGGTGGACAGAGCTGGACACGAGGCCACAGTGTGACCAGCGGGAGCTGGGCGGGCAGGATTTGGAATGTGGTGAAGTCACAGTGCCTGTTAGTGCTCAGAACACAAGTGGATGTGGCACTTGGGGACATGGCTCTGTGCTGGGGGGACTCCATGAACTCAGAGGCTTTTCCAGCCTCAGTGATTCCACCACTCCACGATGTGAGCTGCTGAATCCCCACCAGAAACCCACCAGCACACACAGGCCCCACACATACCCCAGCATCCCAGACAGGAGGACTCACGGATGTGCCCCAACCAGAGTTCTGCTCACCGGTGCTGCGGGGCTGGGAGCGTCCTCCCGGCCACCGGGGTGTCCCCGAGGACAGGGGAGGACGGGGACGAGTGCCCGGAGCCCACGGAGCCAGGACGGAAGGAAGTGCTTTTCTTGGCCACCTGCTTTCTGCCCTGGGCCAGCTGGGTGTCGGAGCACCTGCAGGAGGGAAGAAGAAGCTGATTTGGAACATGGAAAAGCAACTGGTGGGAACCGAAATAACACTGCTCCATGGAATTCAGAAACACAGAAGAGTCCTAGCAGTGGTTTTTTTCCTAGTGAGTGTGAAAATCAGCCCATTTCTGGCTATTTCTGCTACAGCAATCCCACAACCACTCTGAATTTCAGAACTCAGCTACAGCTGCAAGTGACTTCTGATTTTGAAATGAGGCAAGGGTAACAAGGACGCCCAAGGCCTTAATCCCAGGAGGCTGGACAAACCAGGCCACGAAGAAACCCCTGGATCAGCAGAAACTAGAGTTTCCAGAAGCTTAACCAGACCTGAGTACGAGGAACAAATCCAGAGGATTCTCTTGCAAGGACTAAGGAACAAGGTAAGATTGTGCAAGTGAATATAATAACATCCCTGATGAAAGAGCTAGTAGGAGCTCTTAAAACAACAGGTTCTCAAGCCATTTCAGGGGTTTTCAATCAACTGCAGGTTTCCAAACCATTCCAGGAGGTTTTCAACCAATTTACATCAATAAAACAGAAAACTACACCAAACCAGCTGCTGAAGAGGAAAAACAGTGAAGTTATTGGGGAGAAAGGGAGGAGACAAAGAGGGGAGGAATCTGTGAGGGTTTCTGCCAACAGCTGCCTGAAAGTAAAGTGTTCAAACACATCTCAAAAGGAGCAAGAGGAAAAATGGGCTTAAAGCAGTCAGAAGAGGTGACAATACCGAGAGGAACTTGAAAGAGGGGGCAGAATCCCAGGCTTTCCTCAGAGGAAACAAGACACCAGAGTGAGGAGACTGTTCTTAGTTTTAATAATCTGAAATCCAAGTGTTTGAACCCCGCAGAATCCCTGGGACCAGCACGGACACGGCCAGGCCTGGCTGCCTCCTGTTCAGTGGCAGTTGGGATTTAAGGGCAGGGAAGCAGCTGCACAAAAACCACGTCCTAAAGCCAAGCCCAAGAGGGAAAAAATTCCTTGTAAAGCACTGCAAGGCCTGAATGGGAAAGGATTTGGTGATGACACATGGGGCTGCAGGTCCAGCTTGGTTGTCTTCGTGTTGTGACACTGCCCATGGTCCTGGGGTGTCCCAGCCCAGCTCTTCCCTGCACATGGGGGACCTGCAGGGGTGGGGGCCCAGCCGTGCATTCCAGGACCTCCTCCGTCATCCAGGATCTCTCTGGCATTATGGAAAAGGTGATGTTCTTGTGGCTTCCCCTCCCAAATCCTGGTCAGACCAGCACAGAGGGAGCGTTTCCAGGGGTAAATTGGGTTATATTGCACTGCTGCTTGGAGAGGAGCCACCAAGAGCCCCGGCTGGGGCAGGTGGGGTTTGAGCTGCTGCTACACCTGGAGAGCCTGTGGGGAGTAGAGATTGACCTCCTGCACAGGCTGCTCACACCTGGGACACCTCCTGCCTCCCTCGTGCCCCACCAGCAGGGCACAGTCAGAGCACAAGACGTGCTGGCACGGGGCCAGGCGGCCGTAAATCCGGATGGGAAATCCACAGTGCTGGCAAAAATGAACTGGGAGAGCCTCTCCCTCCCCTAAAAAGTCCCCAGGCACATTCCCAGGTTCCCTGGTGTCCTCCAACACACTCCCTTCATCACCAAGCCGAGTTCCTCCTTCCTCCAGGCCTCCTTCAGCCTGCAGCTCCGGGAATGTCCCCCTTGAGCCCCTGGCAGCGGCTTGGCCGTGGGTTGCTCCGTGCCCACCGGGACCGACCACTGATCCCGAATTCCCAGCGAGGTCAGCGAGCAGGTCAGTCCAAGTGGAGGGACACAAGGCAGCCGGGGGCCAGCGCCTGGATCGTGACACGAGGGAGCAATTCAGATTTTGGGAACAGAAAGAGCAAAGGTCTACTTTGGAAAGGCAAGTGCGAAGCTTTAGCCCTGAGGAGGAATATTTGGCTCGGGGAGTGTTGGCTCTCGGCTCCCACCCCCAGTTATTCATTCATCCAGCAGCTCTAGATAAAAGTTTTCCCCCAAAATCATGGCTAAAGCCATGGAGGACACCTGCACCTGAGGACTCCTCTGCACAGAAAAAGGTGATGCCTGAAAGAGCTGAGTGCTGGAGAGAAGCAAAGAGGTGGAAGGTGCTGGAGGTGGCTCTGGTACTTACTCCATCTCCGCAGGCTGAGGAGATGTGGGACGTGCAGCTGGCTCTGGAGTCTTGTACTGGGGACCAGTTCCTGCTAAATCCTGGGTGTACTGGACCACAGGGCCCTTGCTCCTCACAGCACCTGGTGGGGAAGGTGAAAAACCAGAGAGTCAAGAGGAAAAATCTCTAATGTTATCCCAAGTTGGCTGTAAGGGCCCCAAGACACTGATTTGTTCCTGGAATGAATGGTGGATCATCGCCGAGCTCAGAGCACAGCAACTCCCCCAAAAATTCTGGTCACTTCACCCAAGTGCAGTTTGGTTTTGTGGCATTAGTTCAGGAGAAAAGTCCCACTGGAAATCTAAATCTCCTATGCCAAAGGACAAAACCCTGGAAATCTAAATCTCCTGTGCCAGGGGAAAAGACTTGCTGGAAATCTGAAATCTCCTGTCAGAAAAAAAGTGAAAAATACCAAAACCTACAAACCTGAAATCTCCAGAAATTCTGCTAAAAAACCCAAACCACCCTCCAGTTAAATCCCAGGATCTAAATGAAACCAAAAGATGCCACCAACCAACGTTGGGACGAGTCCTGGTTTGTCCACTTTGCTTCTTTTCCTGGGTGGAAGCTGTGGAAGTTTTCATGCTGAACATGGGCTCGAGGCGCGTGGAACCTCGGTAAATCCACTCACAACGTTTGTCCTCTTGTGGAAACGAGAAGGAAACACTTGCAGTTCCCATGGGAAGAGCTTCCTGGAGTGAGACACAGAAAGAGCACAAGGAGACAACAATGAGGATTGACAAACAGCAGTCAGAGCAGACAATAAATTGTCAAAGGCAATTATTTATGTTGAAATCTCTAATCAGGTATCAGGGACAATTTCTTCCTGGAAAGGGTGTTCATGCCCTGGCAGGCTGACCAGGGCAGTGCTGGAGTCAGTGCCTGTGGAATTGTCCAAAACTCCTGTGGATGTGGCACTTGGGCACGTGGTTCAGGTCTCCAAGACCTCACAGGTTCTTCCAACCTCAATATTTCCATGATTAGCAAGAAAAACAGCTGATCAGATCCCCAGCTTCAAATTGAATCCTAATGGCAGAAGGGAAATTCCTACCAGGAAAAGGATTTTCACCAGACTTCCATCCACTTCTTCCACTCTGGATTTCCACCAGGTCCCTTCCCACTCAGTTTTGATCAGCTGCCCATTCTTCAGCAGTACCATGGGCCGGTTGGGATAGGCAGTGATGTATTCCTCAATGAAATCCCGACAGGAAACATCCTCAATGTCTTCCCAGGCCTTTTTCACTGTATGGAAAGGCACACAAGGGAGAAAAGAAATAGGACAAAACAGAGAGAACATTTAATTCTTTTTTTTTTTTTTTTTTTTTAGGATATCCCAGGTGCATTTTTACTAAGGTCAATCAAGGGGTGATCCCAAGGGCTGGAATGTTGGTGGTGGGACATCCTGAACCCACCCTGGCAATAAATCAGAGTTTCAGATGTCGTCAGGCTCAGCACCACGAGGGACACGCCCGTTTTTGAACCCAGGCTCTTCCCAAGACCCAAAGGCTCTGCAGGCCAGGAGGGACAGGGATCACTCACGTGGCCGGCAGACCGGGTACAGCTCCCACTCCTTCACGTACGACGCGTAGCCGTCGTCAAAGAAGATCAGGAACCTGAAAAACAAAGGGGAATTAGGAATGGGAGCTGAAGAGAACACTCCTCACACCATGGAATGGAAATGGAGAACCTCTCCTGCTCCTCCTGGACACAGCCCAGTCCTGGGTGAGGACAGAATGAAGAGCTCCAAATGCTCCCTGTGCTCTCCATGGCTGCTCAAACACAACAATTCCCAGCTAGACCCTTTTCCTCTGCTCCAAATCCTCTCTGTGCCCCAGGAAAGGGAGACAAAGGAAGAGAAAATGTTTAATTGCGTCTGGTTTCTGCAGGGAAGATGGATAAGGCACCAACTTAGTGCCTCTGAGTAATGACTCCAAGTCCTGGAGCTGTACAAAAGCTGCAGGATGAGGGATCAGCATGACAACCAGGAGAAAAGTTGCAATTTGAGTATCAAATTCAGCTCATTTTCAGTTATTAAACGGATCAGATAAAATCCAACACAATTTACATCAGATCCGGGGAGATTAAATCCTTTATCAATCACTTCAGGAAAACCACAAACTTTTATTTTAATAGATCAGTGCAGCCTTGCACTTTTTTTATTCCCAAAACAGCTGCTCCAAACCTGCTCTTTCTCCTCCTGAAGAGCTTTGGCACCACCGCTGCCACTCTACCCTCCCGGGGCTCCTATTTCCTCCCACTGTTTCACACCTCAAGGAGCCCAGACTCAACACTTGGATGATAATTGGAATAAATTAGCAGATCTAATTCCTGACTCAGGGCCACCAACAAGAGTGGAAGCCCCACCCTGAATTTTCAGAGATAAGAAAGGTGAAGAAAGTCAAAATCACATTCCTGAGGAGGGCTCTATTCAGCACCTGAAGGGTATTCAAATAAACCTTTTTTTTTTTTTTTTTGGCTTAAAAGAGAAAAAGCAGAGATGAGGGCGTGTGACCACAGGAAATAAGGAATACCTGTCTTTATTCTTCACGTTGGGGGTCTCAGCCACGATCCCAGCATAGAGCCACATCTGATTGCCATCCTTGTACCTGGCCACCACCCTCCTGCCCACGTGGTGCCTCTCGGCAGACGGGTGGTAATCGTAGGCAATGTGGTTGCCCGAGAGCAAACTCTTCCCTTTATTATCAAATTTCACTTTGTATTTCTTGCCAACACCTGGAAAAACATTTTTAAGCAAACAGGAGATAAATAAAGGGGAAAATAAAGAAAAGCCACATGATTTCACAGCGGAATTCCGATGCTCTGCGTCCCTCTGAGATCCGTTTATTCAGAATTAACTCAGAATTCACTTCAAAACCTTTCAGGATTTAATTTGGAGGGTGAAGCAGTGGAGGTGTGTTGCTCCCACAGTCCCTTCCAGGTGCTCTGACAGCTTTTAGTCCAGGTTTCCCACCCAAAATCCCAGGAAAGCCCCATGCACGGCACATACCGACCGTCTGGATGGCAATCAACGTCCCCTTGTGCCACGTCTTGGTTCTTTTTTTCCCCAAAATCCTCATGCCCACTTTGAGGTCCCCATCAGTGTTGAGATCATTGCTAGGGGCTGCAGGGACACTGATGGGCTGGGCAGTGCCAGGAGATTCCTGAGGGGGTTGTGCATCTACCAAGGAACAACAGCAGAAAGTCAGTCCTAAATCACCCAAAGCTCCCTTCTTGGCACCCAGCTGGAAACTCGGCTCTGGAAGAAGAATTCCTGCTTTCCTTTCCCTCAGCCAGCCCAAGTGCCTCCTTTTTACTGAATGGAAACAGCTTGGGGAAAAAGTGCCCTAAATTAAAATAGCAGTTTGGGATCAATAAATATGAATGGAGATTTCTAGCAGGAAAAGCAGATCTTTGTTTTCCCCTTTTGGTAAGAAAAAGCCCATGGCCAGGGCACACAGCCCCTGGAAGCTCCCACACCTTTCTGTGCTTCCTGCAAGTTGGTTTTCTTGTTTACAGCATCCATGAATTTTGCAACATCCCGGGCAGATTTCCTCATGGCAGCCATTGCTTCCCGCAGCTGGAGGAAAGAGAAAGGAAACACGGAAAAACTTGTGGTATTTTGCACCTAGCACAACGCTGTGTCTCAGGAAAACCCCACATGAGGAAACATCTCTAGCCAGGGCCTCCCCACTCACCAGACTCTGATCCCTGGAGATTCTGGGACTGCTGCTGCCTGTGAGTGAGGAGAAAATAGTGGTTTAAAACCTTTTTGTTTGTGGGAAAAAAATCCATCCTAATTAAATCACAGAAAGCAGAGGGAAACAGGGAAAAGTGCCCATCCCAAATCCCTGCCAGGAAATGCAGCCAGACAAGGCTTTTCCTCAGCCTCACATGGAATTATTTGACGGGGACAACAGCGAGGCAGGTGGGAAAAGGGCGAAACCCCAGTCTGGGACTCCAGGAATTCTGGGACACAAACAGGATCTGGCAGATGCTCCCCATGAGCTAAGAGCACTCCCGTATCCCCAGCCCTCCCCGGCCCTGCTGGGGACACTGAACTGCGCCTCCAACCCGAGTCCACGCTCATGACGTCGTCGTCCTCCTCGTCCGGGATCTCGATCACTTCGGTGGCCGCCGGCGCCTCGTCCTCCGAGCTGCTGTCCCGGTACCGCAGGCCCATCATGGAGTACAGCTCCTTGGCCAGCGTCTCGCACTTGTCCATGGCCCTGCGGGAGGGAAGCCGGCTGTGCCTCCCCAGCTCCGCAGGCACGGCCAGGAGCTGCCCCTGGCCACTGAGGGAAGTGCCCACAGGAAGGGTCTGAAAGCCTTGGGGGGAAAGTCGCCAGTGTGGCTCGTGAACCCACACACGTGGGTCTGCCCTGGAGGGAACAGGAGCAGCCCACCCTATCCCCCTCCTCGGCACTCCAGCCCACGCACCTCATGGCATCGTCAATGAGCTGGTCAACGTGGGCCACCTCCTCCTCCTTGTGCCTCATGCACTGCTCCAGCTCCTCCAGCTGCTGCTTCCACTGCCTCACCCACTCCGAGTTCTCCACCTCCTTGTCGATGATTTCCTGGAGCTCCTCCATGGAGATTCCCATCTCCTCCATCACCTCCTGCATGTCCTGGGAATCCATCTCTGCCGCACCTGAGGCTACACCAGGCATGGGGAGGAAGGTGAGGTTGGAGAGTGAAGAGAGGGAGAACATGGCAGCTCCCCTACCCTCTCCCCCTTTCCCCTGCCCCAATGTCCCCTCACAGTCCCCTCATAGCCCCCTTCATCCCCTCACAGCCCCCAGGTCCTGTCACAGCCCCCTTCATCCCCTCACAGCCCCCCCAGGTCCTGTCACAACCCCCTTCAGAACCCTCACAGCCCCCCAGATCCCCTCACAGCCCCCTTCAGAACCCTCACAGCCCCCCAGATCCCCTCACAGCCCCCTTCAGAACCCTCACAGCCCCCCAGATCCCCTCACAGCCCCCTTCAGAACCCTCACAGCCCCCCAGATCCCCTCACAGCCCCCCAGGTCCTGTCACAGCCCCCTTCAGTCCCATCACAGCCCCCCCAAGTTCCCTCACCGCCCCATTCAGTCCCATCACAGCCCCCCAGGTCCTGTCACAGACCCCTTCCGTCCCATCACAGCCCCCTTCAGTTCCATCACAGCCCCCTAAGTCCCCTCACAGCCCCCTAAGTCCCCTCACAGCCCCTTTCATTCCCTCACAGCCCCCCAGGTCCCCTCACAGCCCCCCAGGTCCCCTCACAGCCCCCCAAGTCCCCTCACAGCCCCCTTCAGTCCCCTCAGCACCGCACACCGCGTCCCCCTCCCGCTCTCCCAGCCCGGCCGGTGCAGCCCAGCCGCTCACAGCCGCTCACAGCCGCTCACAGCCGCTCACAGCCGCTCGCAGCCGCTCACAGCGCTCCCGTTCCCCTCATCCCCGGCCGCCCCCCCTCACTCACCGCCGCCGGTCCCGGGGAACCGGAGCGGGGCCCGGCGCGCCCGCCGCGTGACGTCACTTCCTGCGGGCGCCCCCTGCCGGTCCCGGTGCGTGAGGGCTGGGGGGGGGGCAGAACCCCCCGAAATTCGGGAATAAACGAATTCCTCGGGAACCGGCGATAAATCCCTCGGGAACCGGCGGCCGGGAATTGGCCGCTGTGCCGCGGGAGCTGCCGGGCCCCGCTGGGTTATCCAGCAGGGAGGCGGACGCTCCGGGCGAGCCGCGGGTCGTTGCTGAGGGGCCGTTCCCGGGAACGGCCCCAACGGCCCCTCAACCGCCGCCTCCGGGGGTTGGCAGCACGGGGGGCGATGGGGGAATGGGCAGCAATGGGGGAAGGGGGGACTGTGGGGGAAATTAGGGATACTGGGGGAAATGGGGGGAAATAGTGGAAATTTGGAACAATGGGGGAAATTGGGGACTATAGGGGAAATTGGGGACTATAGGGGAAATTGGGGAGCAATAGGGAAATTTGGAACAATGGGGGAAATGGGGAAAATGGGCAGTGGGGGAAATTGGGGAGCAATGAGGGAAATGGGAAACAATGAGAGAAATTGAAGAGCAATGGAGGAAATGGGGGAACTGTAGGGGAAATTGGGGAACAATGGGGGAAATGGAGTAGCAATGGGGGAAATGGGGGGAAATGGAGGAAATTTGGAACAATGGGGGGAAGTGGGGTAAGCTGGGGAGCAATGGGAGAAATTAGGGAACAATGAGGGAAATTGGGGAACAATGGGGGAAATGGGGGGAAATGGAGGAAATTGGGAACAATGGGGGAAATTGGGGAGCAATGAGGGAAATTAGGGAACAATGAGGGAAATTGAGGAACAGTGGAGTTGGGGTTCCTGGAGGGGTTTGGGGGTCAGTTGATGGGTTCCTCCTCCCAGGTGGAGGTGGGAATGGCGCTGTAGGGATCCACCACCAGCCGGGCGCAGCGCACGGTCATGGCCAGGAGGAAGAGCCCCAGCAGCACCACGAAGGCCGTGGCCACGGCTTTGTCCACATCCATGGTGGGCAGCACCGTGGGGGTCTCCATACAGGGACCCTCAGGTGTGTCTGTCACAGCTCCAGGGACCCTCAGGTGTGTCTGTCACAGCTCCAGGGACCCTCAGGTGTGTGTTCCTTGGTTCCAGGGACCCTCAGGTGTGTCTGCAACACCTCCAGGGACCCTCAGGTGTGTCTGCAACACCTCCAGGGACCCTCAGGTGGGTGTCTCTTGGTTCCAGGGACTCTCAGGTGTCTCTTCCTGGCTCCAGGGATCCTCAGGTATCTTTTTTCCAGCTCCAGAGGCTCCTTAGGTGGGTGTCCCTTGGTTCCAGGGACCCTCAGGTGTCTCTTCCTGGCTCCAGGGACCCTCAGGTGTCTCTTTCCCAGCTCCAAGGACCCTCAGGTATCTGTTCCTGGCTCCAGGGATCCTCCAGCACGTGTCCCCCAGCGCTCAATCCCCAGTAACATCCCTGGGGGCCAGAACCAGGGTGGATTCATGAGCCTGAGGGGTCAAAAACACCCAAAAAAAAGGGGGGAAATGTGGCCTTGAGTCCCCTCTGCTCCTTCCTTACCTCCCTGTGGCCGGCCCTGGGTCTCTGTCCTGGCCCCGCTGGCTCCAGGCCTTCATGAATTCTGCAGGAATGTGCCGGCATCACTTTTCAGACACAACCCAGAGGATCAAGTTCCTACCCCACACCCCCTTCTCCCATCAGGAGAAGGCTCTGGGTCCCTTCAGGGGTGTTCCTGGTGGATTTGGGGTGATTGGGGAAATGCTGAGGAGGATTTATCCCCAAAATCCAAAAGCCTTACCTGTGAGAGGATTTCAAGGTAGTTTTTTGCTTATATTGGAATAGACTGGAAGAAACTTTTGGAAAATGCATTGAACTGAGTCGCCCATTTGGATCTTGCAAGACATCCTCGTGAAAACACCAGAACGCCCAAAATACACCAAAAATCTCCTTCAAATTTATTTTATTCCCTACTCTGAGAGCAAAAATGATCGCTTTGGAGGACATTGAAACTTTGACATCCCAAGAGCCGGGCTGGTGGGGTTTTCCAGAGATTTTTCAGCAAAGGATGAATTGTGGGGTCCTGTTGGTGGCCCCAAATTCCAGTCCGGACAAAAAAACGCATTCCAAACCCAACCCCAGATCCGACCCAAATCACGTGTCCAGTCTGGATCCGCATCTTCATTCCCAGGGTTTTAAAACCCCAATTTCACCCCAATCTCAATCCTAATCCTAATTCCAATCAATTCCAATCCAATTCCAATCCCAATGGTTCGTGACGTCACCAGCACCACCCACGTTAGCCACGCCCCCTTCAGAAGCCCCGCCTCCTTCCCGGCGGGGGCGGGGCACGGCCGCGTTCGCTCCGCCCCCAGCCGTGCCCTCCACTTATCCCCGCCCCCAGCCCTCCGTGCGGACCAATAGCAGTGCCGCGTCTCCCCGTGTCCCGCCCCCCGCCCCCCTCTCGAACCAATAGGAAGCCGCCGTGCCGCTGGCCCCGCCCCCGCGGCGGCGGGGCCGTGGGGCCGGCGGAGGTTTTCCTGCGCCGCCATCTTGGCTCGGCGGAGCGGAGTGAGGAGGGGGCGGCCCGGGACCCCCGCCATGGCCGCCACCGCCGCCAGCGCGGGTGAGCCCGGCCGCGGCGGCACACGCGGGGCCGGGGGGAGCTCCGGGAGGGCTGAGGGGACCCACGGGCTCTCACGGGGCTGGAAGGCTGAGGGCGACCCTCAGGGGCGGGGGCTGTCGTGTGGGGCTCTGAGGGGGACCTCAGGGGTCGCTGAAGGGCTGGCAGGGGCGTGAGGAGGGCCCTGGGGGGCTGAGGGGGCTCTGGAGAGGGGGAAATGGCACAGGGGGATGGGGGCACCCTGAAGGAGTCAGGGCTGTGTTACCTGGATTTGGGGTGCTTGGGGCAGGGGGTCGCTGGAGAACCGGTGGTACCAGGAGACCCCCAAAGTGGGGATCCCTGGATTTGGGGTCCCTGCAGTGGGTTTCCATCATCACTCGTTTGGATTTGTTTTCCTTGACTGCTTCTGTCGGTTTTAACTCCTTTATCAGCTGTGTTTCACTGAGGTTTTTCTTAATTCCCAACAAAAAGTGCTGCTCCGCTTTGGAGGTTTTGCACAAATGTCTCTCTGATCTCTGAAGGAGGGGAGGGCCTGGAGCACAATGTTCCCTCAGGTTGGTCCCCAGAGTCCTCAGCTCCCTCTGCACAGGAAGCTGGAGCTGCTGACCCCTGATTCTCGCCAGAAAAAATGTGATTTTATCAATTCTCTGGCCAAACTGCTCCGAAACGAGCTCGTGTTCAGATTAACCCAGCGTCTGTGAAGTCGTGATGGATTTACAACGTGGTGGCTGCGATCACAATCTGAGCTTGTTTGTGTTTTTGGGCTTTTTTTTTTTAATCTTAGCTTGTGCTTTATGGCTCTTCTTGTGGCTTCAGGGTCGTGAGACACACTCAGGTTTATCCAGGAGTGTTCAGTGACACTGCTGAAGGATTCTGAGGTTTTATTTTAATGTTTTTGGAAGGTTTTGTGGTGTTTAAAGGTGCAAAAACACACTGGGGGCTCAGACCATCCAGTTTAGGAGGAAGGAAGATACTCATGGGTATCCAAGCATTTGTGGAAGTGGAGTCTTCAGGGTTCTGTGGTATTTTGCAGAATAAGAAAGTTTTAAATTCTGAAAGAAAAGAGAATTTTTAACATCTGTGTTAAATATTTTTAATCATGGGCAGAGTGACCAATATTCACTCAACCCTTTTACACAGAGGGAGAGAAATACACAAGCAGTAAACATGGAGATTATTAGGGAATTAAATTCTGAAGAGTTCTCACAAATAATGTGGCTCTTCTTTTCCTTAAAACATTAAAAAAAAAAAAAATTCAGGGCTCCAGTGAATGCTGGGTAATGCCTGAAAACTACCCAGAATGTCTTCATTTCTACCCCTTAGCAATGGAAGAAACAGTCTTTTCTTAATTTCTATATTTCTTCGTGGAGAAGGTTCCCATGGGGATGAAAGTGCTGAGCTGGCATTGCATGGGAAACTCAAACAAGCTGAAAACCTCCTGCTTACTTAAAAAAAAAAATCAATTTAATGTACCCCAGACACAGAAATTGAGATGTTTTGTAAATAAAAAAACATAAAAGCAGAAATATCCAAGCCTTATAGTTGTTAGTGAAATGCAGAGTACTTTTAAGGCTGGTTCATTCGCTCCCAAACCTGCTCCAAACATTTTGGCGAGCTCAAAAATGGGTAAATTTAAAGCAAATATTGTGAGATTTGATGTCCAAATGTGACCCTGGTAATTAATCCCCTGCTGAAGCTTCTGCAGCAAAAATCACCAGTTTGGTACAATAAAAATGTATATAAAAGCTGCAGCAGCCCCTCTGGTAAATCACAGCTGGGAATATTTGCAGTAATTTTGTTTTGGAGCCTTTTTTTTCCCTGTTGGGATGCCAGTGGTTGCAGCAGAGCCTTTCCCAGGAGAGCTGGGCTGGGAGCCTGGAGCACTGGTGGGGGTTGGGATTTACATTTGCTCTCTTCTGGCCTTAATTAGATCCAGCACAGGGTGTAGGGAAGCAGGGATTGGTTCTGGGAAGGGCTGGGACACAGACCCAGCCAGGATGTTGGAAACCCACCTGGGATTTCTTGGGACTCTTGACTGGACACCTCCAGCAATGGTGACTCCCTTCCAAATGCCCTTTTTGGGAAGGAATTTTCCCTCCCACCCATCCTAAACCTGCCCTGGTACAGCTTTGGGCTGTTTCCTCTCATCCTGTCGTTCCTTGGGAGCAGAGCCTGGCTCCATCCTCCTTCCAGGGAGTTGAACAGAGTGAAAACTCCACCGTGGGCTCCAGGAATTCACCTCAGTGCCGTGGTGCTCGTGTTTGGAATGGGGAGAAGACAGAAATTTGGAAGGAATCTTTGTGTTCCTGCGTGTTTCCCAAAAATCCCAAAGGGGGAGAAAGGCAGAGCTCTTCCCGTGCTGTCCCTGGTTTTGGGAGGCCAGGGCCACTCTGATGCTCAGGGTGTGTCCTGGGCTTCCAGCTGAGCCACCAGAGGGAAATGTTCCTCATGGGATGTGTGCTGGGCTCTGGGGAGATGTGGAAGGCTTGAAAAGCAATTCCCTGTGAACAGCACAGTGTCACTTCCTTCCCCTGCCCTGAGCGGAAATTCCTTCCCCTCAAGAAAGGGATTCTCCTCTGTGCTCCAGAAACTTCCTTTCTGTTCCCACCATGTTCAGACATGGCTGGGGAAAAGGAGAAACCCTCCCTTAGTCCCACTTGAGACTTCATTTTGTCAAACAAAATCCTTGGATGTCACCTTGGGACTTCACTTGAGGCACAGCAGCATCTGAGCAATCCCAAATCGAGCAGAAAGGAGATGGGGAAGGGTTTCCACCTCTGGTTTTTTGTTCTCCAGATGTATTTTGGAATTGCAGTTGGATGGGCTGTGCTCACTCCTGCTGTTGGTTGGGATTGTTGCTTTTGGTTCCTTCAGCTGCCAAGCCTCGAGCTGGATGCTTATTCCATACTGTAGTCACCCCTGGGAAATACTATGGATCAGCAAGGAAAAAGCTTCCTCAGCAACGCCAGCTGCTTGGAGGAAAACAAACCAGGCAGGCAGAGAGGCTGGGAATGTTAATGTGGTAAAATATGTCTAATTTTGGCAGAAATACCAGGAATTTGGGAGTGTGTTTGCTGTGAGGTCCAGGCACACCACAGAGGTGATTGTACAGCTCCACTTTTAGCTGTAAATGAACCAATATGCAACTCTGGAAGTGAAATTAAACTGTTGTTGGACTGAAATCTGGCTTTGGGCAATGGCAAAGAGCTTGGGAACCCCAGCTTAAAGCCCATTTTTTCCCTAATTCATTGAACCTGGCCTCAGTTCTTCACTTTGTCCCCCCAGTTGTGGCTGTTTCCTGCCCAAGCTGCTCTCGGTGCTGCTGAGGGTGGTTTGGGAAGCCCAGCATTGGGGTTTTTGGGGGTAGCTTTGGGGTCCCTTTGCTTTGATAAAGCAGAAGTGGTTTGGGGGCTGCATCAGGCTCAGTTTGCAGTGGTTGTGGTGGAGATTTTTGGGCTGGAGTGACTGTTTTGGGGCAGTTTCGCAGCACATTTATAAACTAACA